CCCAGCGCTGGAACAAATGCATTTCATATCTGCACAACAGTTGTTAAAACAGAATATATTTTCCAGTCTAGTCCACCAAGGACTCTGGAGCACAGCACACTGGTAGCCAGTGCCTTGTTTAAACAACAAGTTCACTGACATCCAAAAGAGTAATCAGCAAGCATAAACACACAACGCAAATCCATGTCCGTCCACGTATGGTGCATATCATGCATACATCTTCCATCACACTGGTGTGGAAGTTCACAAAAAATGTGACAAAACAAACAAAAAAATATTAATATTTTAGGTGTCTTGAAGCATTTTCTCTCAAATTTGTACCAACACAGTCTGATTAGCCTTATCAAATCATTAAGACTAAAGTACTTTATGGCTCATATCTAAATGCAGAAAGAGTTTCATTTCTTGAATTCCAAGAAAACCAGGTACATAACGTGCAGCCAATGAGACAACAAGGCTTTCCCCTTTTCCAGATTCCTGGAAATCTTATATTTCAGTTAGAGTGATGCATCACTCATATGACATGGCAGGACCAGCGAGGAAGAATTTACTTGTTTTTTTTAACCTTCACTCTTCAAAGAAAGAACGCCATGCCAGCGTCTTTGTGTTTTTATAATGTCCATTACCAAGAAAATCTGAGAAAATCATGCTTGCATAATTATTCTCGCTGCAGTGAAACTTTCATGTTTGTCCAGGCAGGATGCACGGCCATAGCCTTCTGAACCTTTGTGTTCCCATTGGGCTTTTTTTTCTGGTAAATAAGCTGGTGCATACTAATTGGTGTGCCCTTATCCCCGTGGCAAAAGTAGGAACAGTATGTGCGCGCGCGTGCGTGCGTGTGCATCCATGAGTGAATATATGTGTGTGTGGGTGGATGAGTCTACCACATGCAGATGAGTCTGATCCTACAGCTGCAGGAAATCCTTCCTTACACATCAGTGCAGCCAGCTTTGATCTTTTTAGACACCAGCCACTCCAACAAACAAGGTGGCTACCTTACTAATAATAAGGTGGATACCACATTCTTCAGCAGTTTACACTAAACTGATTTCCGCGAGAGCCTGCTACACACCTAAAATGTTTAATCAAACAGTGTAAACCTCTATTTGATTTTAACAAATTGTCCAAACGTGGTATAGATGCTTTGCCCGTTTTTTTTTTTTTTTTTTTTTTTTGTCTGTTTAACTATATTTTTGAAAGTTGCAGCGTGCAGAGAGATTTCTGTGCTGAATCAGAAGTCAATGGAAATGTACATTTTGGCACTACAGTATCAGTGGGAAGGGGGAAAGAGGAATACTTTTGCAGTTCGTCTTTCACCAACATTGTGAATGCTTTTGTGTTTGCCAACATTTGTCAATAACTCGCTTTCATCGCTTATATTGTGCTCGGAGCAAATACGACAGATGTTGTGAAAGTCGTTTTCTGCTACGTTCACTGGTCGCTTTTTGCAGGAGTCCAATTGTTAATAAATCTATGTTGGTGTTTGCGCTCTTGTTTTTAGTCCTTGATCAAATGCTTCTCGAGGTAAAGCTGTGTTGCATGGGTCACTATGGAACCTGAAAATACGTTGTCACAGAATGAGCCTTGTTGAACCTTTTTGATGACATTAAATCTATTATTGAAGAGGAATGGGAATGGGCAGTTATTTATTTAATTTAAGACACAACAACAACAATAACAATAAAATTATTTTAGATAAACCACAGAACACAAGAAAAGTATATTGACACTTTCATTCTTTCTTTTTATACCATCGCCCCATCAGCGCAGGTGAATTCCCTGTCCACCCTCATCCCCCCCTGCAGAACCGAATGAGATGTCACCCAGGTCCAGACGATAACCACTGCTGACACCTCGACTCATCTGAATTTCAAGCAGAAAGGCAAAAGGGACAGGACATGCTCCGGGGAGAAGGGGTGTTCCTGGAAGAAGACACTATCACTGTCAGTACGCTGATTTTATAAAGGTAGGTGGCGAGAGAAAAATACATCAGAGCGGTTTAAACAGATCAATATTAAAGCCAGCAATGAACTGGCATGCTGTGTCTAAGGTAAGAAAAACAACCACCTGCTACAATAAGCTGACATAACCGCCATCTACAGCAGTTTGAAGTATCGAACACCTTCGGCGGGTCCTTTGACCCAGCTGAGAGATGGCACGAATCAGCATTAAATCCTATGAGATCTGCCAGAATGGTTAATGGGTTCACACATCACACGTGATTCACTTTTGAGCACTTTGAGCAGAATAACGGGACACAAAACATTTAACTCGATTGGCCAAATAATGCCTGATATCCAAGAGGAGGTAAAAGACACAGAGAGCGATTGAGTTAGAGAAGTGGAGATGGTTGGAGCGCACTTTACCTCCTCAACACTACTCCACCTGGGGGGTCTCAGATGATTTGTAAAAAACTGGATGTTGCAATGTTCTGTCTTAACGTAAACATGGACACGTTGCCTCTTTGGCCGACTTTTTGTTGGGGTTAATAAACACAAAAGTGAACTTTCGTGTGCCAACAGGAAGGTTAAAATGTGGTTTGGATCAAGAACAGAGCTGAAGAGCAGCTGGAATTTAGTTTGTTTGTTCAATTGCTGTTGAGCTATGAAAATTTCTGAATGGGTTCATATGAAGCTACCGTTAACAGACAGTAGAGGTCGATAGGGGTTAACAGCAAGCCTGGCCATGTTCAGAGATTTAAAAAAAAAAAAAAAAAAAAGAGCAAACCACAGAATTTGTCATATATCATACTTTGTTTCAAAAACCAGTGTGCAGCAACAACAGATTCTTACCCAGCAAGCACAAAGCACAAGTTCGTTTCAATTTTTTTTTTTAAAAAAAGAAAACGGAAGAAAAAAGAAAAGGTACTCCCCCAGCCCTTATAATAACAAGGCTAAAACGTGTGTGCATAGTTTTGCCTGGAGCTAAATTCTCCATTTAAGAGTCCCTCCTACCTTTCCACGTCCTGGAGTTCACCCTAGCAATATTTTAGTTTCTACATTTTTCCACAATTATCCATCTGATTCCTACATATGATTGAAGTTTAACATTGAGGACAGAAGGGACTAAATGACTGAGTCAGTGAAAGCTTGCAAACTCAGATTTTGAGTGTTTCACATTTCCAGACAGTTGATTAGTGTGATGACTTAGGGAACTACTAAAGTATAAAATTGAAGTTCTGGTAGAAAGGGAACACTTTTTGGTTGTTCCCATTAATATAGAGATAATGTTTATTTTTTTCTGTTTTTAAAACTTTTAAAGCTTTAATAAGAACCCCATCTCACCCATGGAATAGAGCAAGCTGGAGCTCTGGCACGAGAATGTGGCTCCTGGTTACAATAAATCCATTACAGTGTAATAAACGATGATGCTGTAATATTATTATTGTATCACAGAGAATATCAATGCTAATTTGATAAGGATATGGTTGGGGGCAGATAGGTATATATATTTTTAAATCATGAGAATAAAATGATCTACATCTTCTGTGCCGCAGTTACTATGACATAATATTTAAATATATATATATTTCAGGTGGGTGTCTGATGTTATATCAAGCTGCAATTAGTCTTTTCCTAAAGCTAATTATTTCACACCATTGGCTGGAATAATGAAAAACAAAACACGATTTGGGATTATAGTGCAGAGTCCAGATGCCTTCCAATACAGACGCTTAAAAAACACCCTGCAGTCATTTCAAGTGGAAGTCAACTAAAGACAGAAAATAAGATGTTAACATCGAGGGAGTAAGCAGCTTATTTCACACTGGATTATTCTTTTTTACCCCCCCTTCTGGGCTGAATTCCAAATCCCAAGGAAAGCAGTGACACAACTGCTCTCCTAATAGATCCACTATGTATGAAGTGCAGCTCTCATTGCAACTGTACAGTACAGACAATGTGGTTCAAGATATAAAGAGAAAAATATGCATTCACAGTAAAACCAAAAGTACAGTGTCTTTCAGAGCTAAGGTTTTACATATTAGGACGCCAGAAAAAAATATGTATTGGTGATTTATTGCAATACCTTACTTGTTTTCTTTTCCATCCATTCTGTTGTAAATTTGCTGCTGTGCTTGTTCTGTGGCATGACCCAGATTCATCCAAGATTTTGCTGTCAGACAGATGGTCTCACATTTTACTTCAGAATACTTTGGTATACAGAGGAGTGCATGGTCAACTCAATTAATGCAAGGTGCCCACATCCTGCAGCAGCAAAACAACCACATCATCACCCCTTCACTGTGCTGACAGTTGGTATGAGGTGTTTGTGCTGGTATGTTGTGTTTGGTTTTCACTAAACTTGGTGTTGTGAATTAAAGTCAAACATAGCTACGTAGGTCTCATCTGCTTAAGGACATTTTCCTAGAAGTATTGTGATTTGTTCAGGTGCAATTTTGCAAATCTAAGGCATGCTGCCCTGTTGGTTATCTGTTGGCTTCTTTTTGAGAGAAGAGGCTTTCTTATATTCTTTTAAAGGTGTCGTGAATAGTCTTCAGGCTTTTTGATGGTGTTTTAAAACACTGCCGTACATATCACTGTATCACATAAAAGAAACACCACAGTCATAGCAGACAACCTAGCAAAGAACAAATTTTGATTTCGTATCACTCAAAGAAAATGTCTACAAAAATGCCAGAGAGAACATAGTTTGACAGGCAAAAAATAGCACTTTCTTGCAAACTGATGATTGAAAACACACAGATCTCACTGTGGTGTGCAGTGTGTCCTTCAAACATTTGAGGAAACTGGTCCCAGTGGAAGGGTGATGAACAGTGTAAAATACTGCCTGTGGTTTGGTGTTGGGCATCTTTTCAAAAATGATGAAATTATGAGCGCAGAAAACATGTAGGTGAATTTTCATATATTAATTTTTCATCTTTTCAATTTTGAATCTTTTTAAAGCAAAAACTTTTGTGTTCAGAACATCAAAACATAAACTATTGTGGGTCATCTGAGCTTTGGGCATAGAGCCCAGACTGAGTTTTAGATGACTCCTGGTTCGCTTGCATATTTTGCTTATCGCTGGCAAAATAACATATATAAATAAATAAAAAATCTCAGTATGGATTCTTATATTTAATAAATTAATCATGAAAATATGTGTAAAGGCTTTAAAAGACCAGAAAACCACACAGCTTGTTTTGGTATGATACTGATTCAATGTTATTGTCAGTTCTTATTCAAAACTGTGAGTACAGAGTGTGGTTCTCTCGGGCTGTCTAAGCAGTGTGAGAGTTTCCCCATGAGCCATTTTTTTTTCAGGATGTTTCTAATCCTCAGAGAGTCAAATTCTTAATCATTCTTTACTGATGATCAAATCTAGTCGTGGTTAGCAGTCCTTAAGGTTGCTTTGTGCTGCTTTCCCAGTCCCAAACAGAAGGGTGTCCCATGCTCTGTGAGCATTGTTTTAAGAGCATTTTAATGATATGTTTGTGAATATTCTGCTCTTCAGAGACCAGGCAGTTTACATCACAAAAGTGATAGCTTGCAAAAAAGGGATGAAAAGATTTCAACCTAACTTTAACAACAAAGACATGAAAGGCAGGAAGATGTGGGAGTACAGGGAGCGAAGATGAATAATGAATCTGGCAGTCTGTGTATACGTATATGAGTTTGAGAGGAGTGAATAAAAACAAATGTTCTGACAAAGATTGGAGACAGGACTTGAGCCAGGAGAAACCTGGAGATCAACAAGTGCAATGACAGAAGGACAATGTAAAGAGAAATTTTTTTAAAAATTGTCACAAAAGAACGTCAATAAACTACGCCTCAGGTGAAATCCAGGGAACAAGTCAAGCGCCTTGGCAAGTAGCCCTAAGAGAGCAAAAACAAAAAGTTGAATGACAATTTAATGTTCATATCTGAAGAGAGAAACAACAGAAACACTTATCCACCTCTCAAGCAGATACACCAGTCACAGGGAGACATGACAGCATGCTCAAAGCAGTGGCGTCTACGCCACATTAATTCATATGTGTTCCTCCTGGACATGGCTGCCGTCACAGTCATTTAGGAGAGATTTATCTGTGTCCCTCTCGTGGGCAGTCCTGTGACATTTCCATTTGTCACATGACAGCAAATCACTGGGCAAATGTGGGGGCAGTGACGTTTCCATTTTCTGTTGCCTCAGTGCAGATTCTGAGCTGAACATTACCTGAAACATGGTGTCGAAATGCTTATCGTTCTGATAAGCAGTGAAAAATAGAGAGAGAGCATGAGTAAAGACAGCGAGGCAAAGAGATTTAGAAGAAAGAAAAAAAGATGGTTATGTAGGTTACGCAACTGGGTGGGAACGAAACCAAAGCGCAGACTCAAGTGTTTTGGCTGGCTGTATGATAGGAGATGATAGGGAACAGCGTGCAGACAGATGGTAAGAAAATGAAAGAAGATGCTCAAGGTTGTCAAAGGTTAACTTAAATAAACATAAGCAGAGCAAGAAGAGATAAAAGAAGTGAGTGACACATAAGTAGCAGATGGCTGCTGTGGCAGCACAGAGCTGTCAGGTAGGTTACTGCATTTAAAATGAAAAATTAACCAAAGGGGTGGCCTAAAGGGTCACCAGTCACCGATACGAGGATTTAACGTGGAAGACTCTTGCTTTACAGAAGCACTAAATATACAGACACATAAACTGGCATGCAAGACATATGGGCATCTCAATAACTGGTCCTGGGTTGTGACAGTTATTAATAAAGCAATAAATTTTAGTGTTTAAAGCCCCTCCCTCATCCACTCTAGGATCATTAGTTCCTACCTGATATTTGCAGACCAGCAGTTTATTCAATCATGCTGCACCAGCTAAAGAGGAACACATTCCTGTACTCTTCACTCTGTGGTACACTTCTAACATATTGGCATGTTTTCTTTTCCCCTTATTTGTTATGAATACATTACTAACAGTAATATGTATTAATTTCGTTTTGTGTTCATCACCCACTTCAGATGTGTAATGATTTACATATATTCGAGGTCCAGAAGGTCATTCATATGGCCTTTGGTATTCACTGGTTACCACTGGCCCTCATTAGCACTGTTAGCCACTTCTGTTACCCTGACATGAAGCCAGACATAAGTGATCAGAGGTAATCAAGTCATTAACAGGCAGGGGGAACAATGATTTTGCATGTTTATCAGTGGTAGGGGAAGTAAAAGGAGCACTCAATCACAGGTAGAAATGAACATGTACGCAGGTAGGACAAGAATGTCAGCTGGATGCTGACTAATACAAAGCTGTCTCCCACTGTGACATCACTGCTCTGGCTATAATTATTCAATAGCCCTCTAGCACACAGATAAAACATTTACATCCTCCCCCTTCAGGTGCTTCACAAACGTCTCCATTTGTCTCTTTCACTGTCAAGGAATGTGCGCACTGCGTTTCACACGATTCTCCACATGGAAGCAAATTCTACACGATTTTCTTATGTTCATTCCACAGCTCCCCTTCACCATCACTGTTTAATAAACAGATTGTTTATTTCAGACATGCAGCCATTGGAGCATGAAATTGAGAAAAAGGGAGCCTTACGCCCACAGTGTGTTACTGATTCACTAAATAACTGAGTAAAGCAAAAAATACTGCAGCAGCTTGTTAGTGACCATTTACAATCATTAGTCAGTGCTGGGAAACACAGACTAGCAAAATAATTGGCTGCAGTAGGTACAAGCATCTCTGAAATCTCATAAAGTGTTGTAAACAAGTATACCCCAAAGGTTCTTGCACATATGCTGGAGATCCAGCCGTGGGTTCTCAGAGGTCAGGCTATATAATTATAGTTGGGGCTGAATCCCATAAAGTCGGCAGCGCTGGAGATGAATGACTGACCACACAGCACACAAGCAGTATTGGTATTTGAGCTGCAGTTTACATCTCTGGATGTTGACAAATCATCACCAGGATCTGCTCCTTATAGCAGCATCAAGCAGCTTTTTCATCATCAGGACTACATGTGCACTTCCTACAACAGTGGCAAAGGGCAAGCTTTATGAAGATGAAAGTAGTCAAAATTGTTACTTTTGTCTGAGCTGCATGGGTATTTCATTGAAGTTAAGTTGCAGACAGAGCCGAGAGGAAGCTAATTCGGATGATGACACTGATGCAAAGGAACGAAGTAGTTGGAGGTGAAGATGGAGAGGGCATGAGGGGATGAGACACAGTCAAGCTTTGAAGCCCAGAAGGAGGTACAGTGTCAGTGTAAATTGAGCGGGAGGAGGTAGATAGAGAGTAAGGGGCCAAAAAGAATAGGAAGAATGAGAAAAAGGGAGTGATGTAAGGGCTCAAACTAGATCCTATTCTGTGTGTGTGTGAGTATGTGAAGGGGGGGGCAGAGAAAAAAAGTGCAGCGCAAATGAGTAGTACGAAGAGAGAGGGAGGGGGGGCTGCACAGAGGCTCTGCGGGGAGATCAACACAGCTGTGCAGAGAGACAGAGGGAGTTGCACAGATAGTGGAACAACCAGCAGTAAGACACAAAGGACCAAATATTAGATGCTTTAACGGTAGCCTGAAGACACACAGGGATATATAATCAGAAGTAAACAAGAAAGTGGACCAATATCAGCCACTGGCAACACTTGGGATACAGGAAGGCAGAAGAGCACAGGAGGAAACAAAGGAGAGCTGAGAGAGAGCAGAAGAGTGACCAAGTGGAAATAAAAAGGAGGACATAAGAGCACGGCTGAGGCAGGTAAGAGTTAGAAATTTGTACGTAAGCAGTGTAAAAGAAAAAAAAGTAAACAGAAATGTTTATTTGAATGTAGATCCACATATAGGCAAGGTAGTATCTGACAATATGCTGTTGTGCAGTTCAATACATGGGAAAAGAGGATAAACCGGAAGACAGATGTGAGGACAAAGGGAAACATGCATGATGCAATGCAAAACTAACACAGCAGGCTTCAGCCTAAGCTTCAGAGCAGCCGGCGAAAAAATGCATCCAAACAGGAGAATATGTTCACCTGACAACTACAACCTGATAACATTCTGTGCCATTTTGGCCCCTGGCGAAGGGGAATCAATAGTGTTGGTTCGCACAGTCATTTAGAATGGCACTTCAGTGTAAATAACGCATTGAAAATTAAATGCTGCTTTTCTAGACTGCTGGCAATATGGTGATATATTAGCTGCAGATTGCTTTGATGATAACTGAAGCACAATAACATGCAGGACAGATTTGCATGGTTCGGATGAAAGTATAAAGTGAAAGGACAGAAGTCTGTTACTGACAGTGAAATCAATCAGGGAAAGGAGGAGGAGGGGAAGGGTTTCCTGTGAGGATTTCTTCCTTGATGAGAGGGTTAGTTGAAGATTTCTGAAAAACAAAAAATGTGATCGAGGCCACATATATCAGCAGATCAGAGTAACTGCAATATTTAAAAAATTATTAATAAATAAAATAAATGTTAGACGTACATACATGCCTATCTAAACAAAATGTTTGTCTATGTGTGTGTGTTTGTGTGTGTCTGCACGAGTGTGTGAAGGCATTGGAAACGCTACTAATATATAATATTGGAGCGAGTAATAGAGGTGGGGATCAATGCAAGTTTACAAAACATTTTAAAACTATCGTGTCAGGGTGAACGCGCAGTTATCTAACAAGAAACGAGTGAGGATGACTGCTGCGTTGCAGACTTCCACTGTGCTTTGTAGTCACATTTAGTTAGTTGCTGCCACCTTATGGTCAAACTGTGTCATCCCAATTAAATGAAAACAGCTCTTGTGTTTGTGTTTTAGTCCTCATCACATCTCTCTGACCTCTGCCAGCTGATCCAGGATGTCTGCCAACCTGTTACTCATCATCCTCCTGACCTTTACGCAGGGGTAAGTGACTCTGAGGTCAAAAAAGCACACCCACTTGTTTGTCTCATTGTTTCTCTCATTTCCTTTTTCATTTTTCCCTGCTTTTATCAGGAGCTGTGCATTCCATAGCAACCACTGGGGTGAATGGAACGACTCCCAGCTTCTGCCAACAATACAAAAGCTCATGAAAGGCTATAACCGCTACCTCAGACCTAATTTCAATGGTATGAAGTTGCTTGAGACATTTATTTTTTAAGCTTTTTTTTTTTTTACTTTCTAAAAGTCGTCAGAGCTTCTGTGTCTTTCACTTAAGAGTGGACCAGTTGTACTGTTTCCCATGTGTGTCTCCTGAACAGAGGGCCCAGTGGAAATTGGAATGAGCCTTGATATCGCCAGCATTGATGCCATCTCTGAAATCAATATGGTACACCTTCTATTTTTGTCATCTGCGCGATCAAACGAGGGAGCAGGCGTCTTTATGTGTTTTTTGTATCTTTTCAGGACTACACAGCGACAATCTTCCTCCGTCAGCGCTGGCGTGATGCTAGGCTGATGTTCCCCGGTAATGAGAGCGTGAGCGTGGACGGTCGCCTGGTGTCACTGCTCTGGATCCCTGACACTTTCATCCCAGACTCCAAGCGCTCCTTCCTGCACGATGTCACCGTGGAAAATCGCCTCATACGCATCTTCAGCAACGGAACTGTTCTCTATGCTCTTCGGTACATTTCTTTACCGAAGCTTTGACGCTCGCTGACAGCTGACATTTCACGCTGCTGGTCACAGACAAGAAGAAAACAAATCCAGTCAACCCCACACTGCTCTCACGTTCTATATAAAAAGAAAGGGGAAAAAATAACTAGGAGTATGACTAAAAAGCAAATGTCATCCCTCATTCATTCATCTCAGGGGTATGGCTCTGCATTCCTGTATGTTCTGCCCTTCAAACACTTAAGCCTTTGGCAGTGAAGATTTGCAGAGTTCCATATGAGTATTAAAAATCAGGCCAGGCTAATTTGTCAGCTCACACTGCCATATAACTTTTTTTTCACTAGACAGTTTGACAGATGAAAGGAAGGTCAGCTGTGTACAGTATGTTCAGTATCTTCCTTCTTCTTGAGTACCGAAACTGATTGATAGCTGGAGCCATCATCTGATTGTGTGGAGGTGATTGAATGTTGTAGAACTTGAGCAACCTGGCCTCATTTTTGCAATCCGACAACACTGTGCACATAATTCATATGTGAGACACAATGATGATACTCCAGATATAAGTCTTTGATCTTTTGGATGTTCATCGGGGGAGAAGAGTTCTTTATGTTCACTAATAATTAACATCCCCTGTTATAAATCAGTAGAGCTGCAGTCATTTCAGTTGGGTTTTTGAAGCTTGGTAATGAATGCCTGCTTTGAATGCCCAACAGCATCACGGCTACGATCGCCTGCAACATGGATCTGACTAAGTACCCTATGGATAGACAGGTGTGCACCCTTCAGCTGGAGAGCTGTGAGTATTTCACTGTGAGCTCCATTAACCATCAGTCATGTGTGTAGCTGGACATAAATCATCATCATCATCACTACTACCATTTTCATGAGCCTCTGTGTAGTGAGTATGAAACTGAAAGCCAGCTTTACACCGAGGACTTCACTAGCCAAAGGTTAACTACTCTTTGTCCTTTCAGGGGGGTATAACCTACAGGATGTGGTGTTCTACTGGACCAGAGGAAATGATTCAGTGAAGGGTTTGAACACACTGCGGCTGGCACAGTATAGTGTGGAGAGCTACTACACATCAGTGTCAGAGGCTGTGTACGAAACAGGTAACATATTTGAGCTCTCTGGATTTCCTTTGCATGTTAGGATTCATCCAATGGCAGCTGCTATTGGAGCACAAATGCACCACAGGATTGTTTAAATCTGTATTTTTTCCCTCGTTCTTTTTATGTCTCTTTGTGTCCTTTGCAGGAAATTACCCCAAGCTGGTGCTGCATTTTGCACTGCGCAGAAATGTGCTCTTCTTCATCTTGGAGACATATGTTCCCTCCATTCTGTTGGTGGTTCTGTCCTGGGTCTCTTTCTGGATCAGCCAGTCCTCTGTGCCAGCTAGGACCTGCATTGGTCAGTAGCAGACCTCACTCTTTTAGTCCAGGATTTTGGTAACTGTCCATAGAGTGACCATTTCCATATTACAGGCTGCAGGATTTCATGTATTGGTTTTTCTTTGGTCATATGAAGTAGGGATGAGTTTTAGCATCCCACCTACTTGTAGCATAATTATAATAACAATACTTATATTATTAAATAATTGTTCTCAATATAACAACTATGATGTCTAATGTCTGAGGTTTTCTGACTCTAACCTATGAATAAAAAGGATAACTTTGACCTTAGTCACTAAATAACTCACCAAATGATCAGCAGCTGAAGACATCAATTATAGTAAAAAAGTGCACAAATACATGAATAAATAAGATAAGGGTAGCACGGCATTTACTTTGCTTACACTAATGTTTTGTAGGAGTAGCTAATGGATGATGGGCTTTCACATGTAAATAACTGGACATGACTAACTTGAGCTTGTTATATAATAATATACTACAGTATATTTCTAACTAACTAGGCAGCTCATTCTAACTCTTGACAATACTTTAAAGATGTAACTCTTATTGGGATCAACTTGAAAGAAAGGCAGACGTCATGTAAAGTGAGGTCAGAGGTCAGGTGCGACATGATGTTTAGATGAAAAATAATGTGATAATTAGAATCCCCAAAAAGAGTATCATTTTCTTAATGTTGCCAATACAAACAAAGGCAGTAGAATTTTAAGCATCACTTTGAAGATAAAAGGCATTTTATGAAAGCTTGACTTTATTTGACCTTGAAGAAGTCAGAGGTCCAAAGTAAGGTCATACAGTGGCTTGCAAAAGTATTCGGCCCCCTTGAACTTTCCCACATTTTGTCACATTACAGCCACAAACATGAATCAATTTTATTGGAATTCCACGTGAAAGACCAACACAAAGTGGTGTACACGTGAGAAGTGGAACGAAAATCATACATGATTCCAAACATTTTTTACAAATAAATAACTGAAAGTGGGGTGTCGTAATTATTCAGCCCCCTGAGTCAATACTTTGTAGAACCACCTTTTGCTGCAATTACAGCTGCCAGTCTTTTAGGGTTTGTCTCTACCAGCTTTGCACATCTAGAGACTGAAATCCTTGCCCATTCTTCTTTGCAAAACAGCTCCAGCTCAGTCAGATTAGATGGACAGCGTTTGTGAACAGCAGTTTTCAGATCTTGCCACAGATTCTCGATTGGATTTAGATCTGGACTTTGACTGGGCCATTCTAACACATGGATATGTTTTGTTTTAAACCATTCCATTGTTGCCCTGGCTTTATGTTTAGGGTCGTTGTCCTGCTGGAAGGTGAACCTCCGCCCCAGTCTCAAGTCTTTTGCAGACTCCAAGAGGTTTTCTTCCAAGATTGCCCTGTATTTGGCTCCATCCATCTTCCCATCAACTCTGACCAGCTTCCCTGTCCCTGCTGAAGAGAAGCACCCCCAGAGCATGATGCTGCCACCACCATATTTGACAGTGGGGATGGTGTGTTCAGAGTGATGTGCAGTGTTAGTTTTCCGCCACACATAGCGTTTTGCATTTTGGCCAAAAAGTTCCATTTTGGTCTCATCTGACCAGAGCACCTTCTTCCACATGTTTGCTGTGTCCCCCACATGGCTTGTGGCAAACTGCAAACGGGACTTCTTATGGTTTTCTGTTAACAATGGCTTTCTTCTTGCCACTCTTCCATAAAGGCCAACTTTGTGCAGTGCACGACTAATAGTTGTCCTATGGACAGATTCCCCCACCTGAGCTGTAGATCTCTGCAGCTCGTCCAGAGTCACCATGGGCCTCTTGGCTGCATTTCTGATCAGCGCTCTCCTTGTTCGGCCTGTGAGTTTAGGTGGACGGCCTTGTCTTGGTAGGTTTACAGTTGTGCCATACTCCTTCCATTTCTGAATGATCGCTTGAACAGTGCTCCGTGGGATGTTCAAGGCTTGGGAAATCTTTTTGTAGCCTAAGCCTGCTTTAAATTTCTCAATAACTTTATCCCTGACCTGTCTGGTGTGTTCTTTGGACTTCATGGTGTTGTTGCTCCCAATATTCTCTTAGACAACCTCTGAGGCCGTCACAGAGCAGCTGTATTTGTACTGACATTAGATTACACACAGGTGCACTCTATTTAGTCATTAGCACTCATCAGGCAATGTCTATGGGCAACTGACTGCACTCAGACCAAAGGGGGCTGAATAATTACGCACACCCCACTTTGCAGTTATTTATTTGTAAAAAATGTTTGGAATCATGTATGATTTTCGTTCCACTTCTCACGTGTGCACCACTTTGTGTTGGTCTTTCACGTGGAATTCCAATAAAATTGATTCATGTTTGTGGCTGTAATGTGACAAAATGTGGGAAAGTTCAAGGGGGCCGAATACTTTTGCAAGCCACTGTATATTGTTCATATATGTTGTCAATACAAGAAATAAGAAAGATAGTTTTAAATAACTCTATATAGCATTACTCTGATGTGTTAACAATACACACCACACTTGTAAGATTTTTGTCCATTTTTGACCAATAAATCATTGTGTTGACCTTGGAAACTTTAAGGCAAATATTTAATTGCTTGTTAACATGACCCCACTCAAGCAAATGTGACAGACAGACAGAATAAAATCACACGCACACCCAAAAACATGACCTCCTTGATGATGGTAGATACAGAAATACATCACTGATTAAGATTTCACTGAAAAAAACATCAAGTTTTCTGTTTCCACATGTTTGTTTTCAATACAATTTCCCCATACACTGAGTATTTTCTAAGATCTGGATCCTTTAGTCTCACATCTACAGCAGCAGTGATGTTGTTTGCTTGAAGAAAATAATAAAGAGAATGCATAAACAAAAAAAGCCCCTGAAAGAAGAGCAAGAGTAGTGTGGAATGGACAAACTAAATATTTGTTTGCTTGATTTAATTGCTGGGACATGCTGGAAATAAAGAAAAAAATTCCAACCCTCTGATCTGTCTGCAGGAGTGACAACAGTGCTGACGATGACAACTCTGATGATGGGTGCCCGCACTTCCCTGCCCAATGCCAACTGTTTTATAAAGGCCATAGATGTTTATTTGGGCATCTGTTTCACCTTCATTTTTGGTGCACTGTTGGAGTATGCCTGCGCTCATTTTTACACCATGCAGCACCAGACCATTGAGGATTTATATCGGGTGAGACACATAACCATGACACAGATAAAAATGGAAAGATTCTCTGTTACTGTAAACATCAATCCATCGGTTTATCTGCCCATGTAACAGGACCTTCTGAGGGAGCTCAGCGAGTCTAATGGAAATGGCTCTATCCCCATCGTCAACTCCAGCCAACCAAATCAGTCCGTGGAGATCGGCTCCACCGCAGAGGACTCCACGGAGCAGTCAGCGAGCAGCGACACCAAGAACCACACAGGAACAAAAGAGAAGGCGCCAAATCAGGGCTGCGGCTTGTCGTCAGTGAGAGACGCATCACGTAAGGCGGCATCTGTCTTCATTGTGGAAAATCCACACAACATTGATCGCTATGCCCGCACAGTTTTCCCCACAGCATTCCTCTTTGTCAATATCCTGTACTGGCTTTATTATCTCTTTCTGTAAGTGCTCATTCCAAGCCGTGGAAAGCTTAATTTCACCAACCTGAAGCTGCTCTACCTCCTCATTTAAGATCCAACACCAGTCGCCATGGTCTGAATACGAACGGACCTGACACAGCTTATTTATTGGATGGCGAAAAATCTATTGGTCAGGACTACGCTCTGCAACAAAGGCCGTTATTGATTGTGTGCAAAGAGTTGGCTCCCAGCACATCAGCATGTAAGAGTGGTAATGCAAAGCCTGTATTGTCTACTGACCAATCCATAGATCAAATGAGGAAGAGTTTAGAATGAATAGGATGCTGAGCAGCACCACACAGTTGGTTGCTATGCATTGTTTGCATGAGACCATATACTGTATGATTATGTTTCGTCGTACAATGTGAAATTAAAAGCCTACATCAGTGACTGGAATGTGTCGGTGCATTTTATGAGAAGGAAATTCAGTCTGTGCTTAGTAACAAGTTAATTAAACAGGAATTGTTTGGGAAAATAAGACACACATTTATTATTCCCTCATCCGGGTACGAGAACAGTAAAGTGCAACAGGCGACCACAGGTTTGGTAAGGAAGGTGTTAAAATGACATTTGATGATTTCATTAAAAGGAAAAGACAGATTTCTATCACTTATAGCACCACTTTGTTAGTAACTCAATGATCTGTAATGTAAGTATTCAGCTGTATTTAAATGTGTGCCAAAGAGGGTGATCAGGACAAGCATGGATTTACTTTGTTTTTTACCCAGAATCCTCTATGGCACGTACCCGAATACTGACTTCAGGCAGAAAAATGCACAGAAAGTTTTAGGCACTTAAAAGGAGTAGCAACATTAGGGATATGAGCCACTGCGGAGTCATTAAAGAAACATCAAGAAATAGAGAGACTGCTGCAGCAGATGGCATTATCTGAAGATTAGAGAGTCACTATGGGATTACTTGATGCAACTCAGAGAGCCTGAACCCCCAGAGGAACATACCTGCCAATTACCTTGGAAAACTGTGCCTAAAACTTTTGCACACTTTGTGATGAGAAATGAAGCGCTGTACAGTATTTTAAGTACAAACACATATAGAACAGTAGTTGGCGCTCATTATGTACAGGCAAAACAAAAAAGATTATGTCACCTAAAAGGCACATCATGGCTTAAACTGTCTTTCATTCTCAAAGCTTCCGATACGTCACATTGCTTTGGCCTTCTTTTTTCCCCTCACGACACCTTTAAACATTTCTGGCTCTTTTCCACACTACATTTTATTCATTTGTAGTGCTTTCCATACTTTTATGTTGCCTTTCTCTGCTGAACTTACCCTTCTTGATTTTTTTGTTTTCCTTTTCCAAAATTTTAAACTGCACCTTTCCAGAAAGTGAAAATACTTGGCTACAGACCGTAAATAGTCGTTGGAAATATTCAGTAAGCTGTACCACCACCTAGTGGCTGATTTCTTTCATTACTGTTTATGCAGTTTCTCAGGAATCCAAAAAGGAAACAAGTCTTGACTTTCATTTATAAATGGCAAATTTTAGACAAAGTGTCCAAAGTCTCTTCCAGATATGCATTATTTCCCTCGTCCTCCTAGGTTCCTTTCTTTGACTCCCATTCCTAGAGAAAGAAAATCAGATTTTTTTTTTTAATGATGTGAAAACAAATTTCAATTAATTTCACAGGAAACACAAAAGTGTACTTATATCATTAAATAGTTGTTTACAGTAATCTAACAGAATGAAAACCTAAAGCTTTTTGGGGAAAAAATGAAATGAAAAACAAGGTCATGGTGCACTAAATTGTATTCACTCGTCTGCCTTCACACGCATATGAACTTGAGTGACTTCTCATTCTGAAGCCATTAATATGACATTGGCCCACCCACTGATGCTATAACGGCTTCAACGTTTCTAGGAAGACTTTCCAAAAGGTTTAGAAATGTGTTTATGGGAATTTTTGCCCATTCTTCCAGCGGCAGACACTGATGTTGGATTGAGTCTCCGCCCAATTCATCCCAAAGGTGTTGTGTTGGGTTGAGGTCAGGACTCTGTCTTTATGGTCCTTACTTTGTGCACTGGTGCACAGTTATGTTGTAACAGGAAGCAGTCTACAGTCCAGTGGCAGAATGCTTCACACCACTGCGCCTGACACTTTGAATCGAGCTTGGTGATGTAAGGCTTGGATGGAGCCGTTTCCATGACACTCTCTCCACACTATTCTTGAGCTAATCTGAAGGCCACATCAGAGGTCTGTAGCAGGAAGCTGACAAGCTCTGTGCACTACGTGCCTCTGACCCCACTCTGTGATCTTACATGGCCTACCACTTCATGGCTGAGTTACTGTTGTTTCTAATCACTTCCACTTTGTTATAAAACCACTAACAGCGGACTGTGGAATATTTAGTAGTGAGGAAATTTCACGACTGGGCTTTTTTCATAGGTCCTGAGCTCCTGAGAGCGACCCATTCTTTCACAAATGTTTTTAGAAGCATAAATAGGTGCTTGACTTAATACACCTGTGGCCATGAAAGTCAATGGAACAGTATGGTGTATTTGTAATGCTTAAATTTTGCAATACACTTTTTTTTATTGCTGCTTCCTCGTAGACCGCCTCACATTTCATTAACACATAGAGCCACTAATATCTACATTGAGTGCACTATCATATGATGACTATCTATTTATGTGCGAACTGTGAAAAACCCATTAGATGATGGTACATGCCGCGGTGACTCTATTAACTCCCTGAGGAGACTGAAAAGAAAACATGACAATACACAACAAGCTGAGCAACTGAACTGCGTGCAGCAGAACGGATGAATTTCATCACTATTACCTTTGCTTTCTGCATGACAGTTCCAGTACAAGAAGCGTAAACAGACGGTGGCCTCCTACGCAGCTCTGCGGCACAATTTACTGGTAAAGAATCACTGTAGATATTCTGGATCTTCTTGCTAGAAGCCTGGACAATATAGAAAAAGTATAGAAGTATATAAAAATCTTTGTATGCAGAGGGCCTATCTTTCTACATTAAGCATAAGCGGTACCTGAACAGGAGGTTTAGCCTCCGCTGATGCCCCCAGGGTTCCTCCTGCCAGGCTCTTATTTAGGTTTTCTTTGACCTGAGTCAGTCGAAGTTCCAGGTCCACCCTCTCTGCCTCTTTAGCTCGACAGGCCTCCTCCAACTGAGCCACACGCTTGTTCAGGAAGGACTTCCTCTTATCTGCCACACAGATTCACAGAAATAGATCAAAACAATAAGATACGCATTTGTACGTTCATATCCTCCTTTGCATTATAAATAAGTCTTAAAATTCCGGTTTTCAAAATAAAGCACTTGCTCAAGTTCTAAATTTATTGATTTTACAATAAATCAATCTCAATCTCAAGAGAAATTTTTGTTTATTTTGGGTTTTTTTTTATTTATTTAGCGATGAAATTTATTAGACCACCTGTTAAAAAAAAGCAAGAAAACAAAAATATTCTAGAAACTTGCCCAAAACTTGTTTAAGACTAAAAAAAGGAGAAAAAGTTGTATCATTATTTAAGACGCAAATAGCAAACTGAATTCACATTTTTAAAGCCACCGGACTTCTGTATTTGGAAATTAACCAAGAATAACATTCAACCACTAAAACACATTTTTAGTATAAACTTATTTTTAATAATAATGTGCTATCACTTTTTGTTTTTACTTTATTTTGTAAAACAGTATAGTCAAATATTACTGGATAACAACAATAATTATATTTTAGCATTAAAAGTACAATTTCAAGTAAAAGACTTACACATACTGCTCAACTAGCCTGAAAGAAGTTATTAACATTAAAAAAATATTTCAACAACTGCAGCATAAACCTCACAATGCAGGATGCTGTTATAAATTTTTTAAGCACTGTATAAAAAAATAGAATCTAATTATGAAACCTAAAAATACTACTTAGATGTTTTTAAAGAAAACATTTTGCTTCATTAAAATGTGTTGATGATCTAAAATGTAATAGGTTTCATATAGTTGTGTTTCTGTGGCACAGTTATGATTGTTTCCTCTGCCTCTGCTGGAAGCACGCCACACAGTACTAGAGGAAATTAGGTAATTAGACATAGCAGACATTTTTTTCATAAGCATGTTGTTTCATGTAATAATTTTAATACCAATGCTGCATGGGAAACTTCTGCTCTTTCATGGCCTTATAATAAAGGAGGTCACAATGCGGGGTCATATAAAGAGCCGTGATGCATTATGATGTAAAGGACGTCTGGCAAATTTGCACAAACACACCAATGAATCCTGCAAAAATAAGACTAAAATCCTCCCATGTTTTCTTTTTTATGTGCCTTGTAACGATGTCTTCATACATTAGTTAATCATCGAGAGGGTACATGCATGTTTTAGTTGTGTTTTTCATTTTGGGACTGCTTCAACAATAAAGAGCAACCATTCATGCGGGATCTGACTTTATATCTTCTTACCTGCAGCTGTCTTCAGCTCTTCTTTCAGCTCTCTCTTCTGCTGTCGGAGGGTTACTAGTGCATTACGTATGCCATCTCGCTCTTTCTCCAGCTCCTCTTTTTCTCTGAGGTAGCGTTTGGCATCTTCTTCTGCTCGCGTTTTCCCATACCTCCCGTACTGGCTGGTATCTGGATGAGAGCAAAGGTTAAAGGTCAGATGTACAGGGGTTATGGGAATAAGACAAAACCCTCTCACGGCAGCCTGTCTGCATAATTAATGCTATGCTCTCCGTGGGGGCAGTATGAAGCTGCCTGTAAGTGTCACATGGATGTAGAGCGTGGTCGTTTTTTACAACAGGCCAGAGAGAGACAGCGTTCATTTTTCTAGAAATTGTGTGGCTTTAATATTAGAGAACATTAAGTTTTACTGTCTCATAATATTTTTGTGTTAATGTCCCATTTATGTTTCAGAGGATGTTTGATGTTTCTTTCTTTCTTTAAGCATCAGACATTAAACTTACTATCTTACCATGCTCCACTCACCCCAAAGCAAACCCTAACCTATAATGGCCATAATACAGCGTTGTAAATTCAAGGAAACCTGGTGATATGGTTGCAGGAATTAAAGATAAACACACACACTCCTGCGGGGTAAGAGGTCAGAGGGTGAGGCAGCAGATCTAATGCGAGTGTCCAATAAATCTCAGGTTACATCCTGCAGCTCTCAGCCCATGGAAAGCGCGGCTTCTTTGATGTGCCAGAAGGTGACAGCGAAGACCACGCGGCAAGAAGAGGAACCCTCGCTAGAAATCCGCACTGATATCACTTTTCTGTAACTCAGACGCTCATCTCCTTCACTTGTGCAGCAGAGAGCGAATGACAAAAGGGAGCAAATGGGAGAGGCCAGAGCAGAGGGAATGGAATATGGGCGGAAAGTGAGAAGATGATTGAGTGAAGAGAAGAAAAGAAGAAATACTGAGCCAGATGACTGCTCAAATTTTATGACTGCCAGTGCTTAAGCCCACAACTCGAAGGAGTGTAAGCTATATGAGCTCAAGAGCACTGGAATCTATGACTTAGTGAAATATTGATGTATTAAGAAGAATTATTTCTCCCCCCCACCACAGTATTTTGAGCTGTTTTTATGGGTTTTTTTGAATCACACAGATGTAAATCAAGGATCAGTATAAAATAGAAAAAAGACTTAATATAACAACAAAGTATATTAATAAACTCAGCCTGTAAGTTAATAAATGTGCAGTCAGCTCCTTTCAAAGTAGTTGAAAAAAGACACCAGCACTGCTCATAAGGCTGCACATTAAACAATAAATGGCAATGTTTCAAAGTTGTAAAGCAAAATTTTAAGTTTCATACTGACAGAACAAAAAAAAAAGAGAATTGCCTTAAAAATTGTTTAAAACAATCAGTTTACCACAAATGTAACAAGTCAGGAGACAGTTTAGTCACACTCCGAAGAGGGGCGTTTAAAGATGTCTTCCTTTTTATTTAGGAAGCATTGAATTAAAAGCTAAGTATGTATATAAAATAGAGGATTTTTTTGTTGCTCTTTGGAAAATCCTAGAATTTATTTCACAAGGTTAGACTCAGCACCACTTGATGAACTGCAAGTCACACTGGAAAACAAACTGAGCACACTTACGTGAGCCTATTCGCTTCAGGGAGACTAATGGCTTGGTTCTGTCAGAGTCGCTGCTTGAGAAACTTGAGCGCCGTTTCCCTGTATTCCCAGACTGCTGCCTGTGGTTCTCTCCTGACTGGGTGGAGCAGAGAGAGGGCGGGGGGAGTGACAGATGTGGGAAGAGTGAGGGCAGATCAAGAAAAGTTACATTTGTTTATCAGGATATGCAGTGAACGTGTCTCGGGATTTAGTGATTTCAGACTGCTGTGGTGTGTGTGTGTTTTTGGTTGTAGGTGGTGAGAGGCATGTGTTTAAAGTGCATGTTAATGGGGTTAAGAAAGGAGTTTACAGGCTGTGAAACTGCTATGACCTCTTGCCTTCCTGTCACCAGTCAGAGCACTTTATCTTTTTTTTTCCTAATGCGGACACCCTGATCTTTCTGTGGTAAAAAAAAAAAAAAAGGCATCATTGATAGGCGTGCAGCAGAGCACTGTCTATTTATTTGGGTGACTGATGGGATGTCAGACAGCGAAAACCCAAACAGCTGCATGCCCATACATCTTCTGATCTGGTCACATCAAAGTTAACGCGTGATTTCTGAGCGTGAGTGTCCTGCTTACCTGCAGATCCTCGTTAGGTACCTCGTCGTATGTTCTAGAATCTGTGGAGGTGCTGCTGGAGGAAGTAGCCCACCTAGTTTGAGAGACAACAGACAAAGTAAATTTACATAAAAATGATGTAAGCAAAAACATCGCTGCTTTGGTTGATGGCCTAGCTTTGAACTTGTCCATGGATCCTGACCCCCTTCCGCTTCATCTCACTCACAGGAAGGAATGCCGCGCAGCATCACGGATGTTAGCAATGGTTTCCACATCTACATAGTCGTAATGCAGTGATTCTGGGTCTGTCGCAGAGCCCATTTCTGCCAGGAGGAGACCGAGCCACCGTCCAAGCTCCTCTGAGCTGCTTGCCTGACAATTTAAAAGAAAGGCATTGGATAAATAAATAAATAAATAATCAAGTTTAATATTCAATCTACTTAAAGACTGTGGTGATGTATGGGATGTGAATGGTCGTGTGATATGCACGTTAGTATGCATTCAGATTATTTCTGAAGCTTTTGTACAGATCGTGATTGTTTTTGCTTTGCAGGTATTCGAGTGGATAAGAGAAACATCTGGCTCATTAGCTGATAATTGCTTCACAGTCTGTTTATCTGAGCTCTTTTCACTGAAACAGCTGCCCAGTGCTGACCGAGTCGAGCTGACGAGAGTGATGAGATTGAATCAAAACATTAACCCGACAATAAGCCTACCACCTCTGTTGGGCAGATGGAGACTGTTGAGCTGGTTAAAAATATCTCCCTGCTTATGTTCTTATGAAAGATGACTCTTTTCAATTCTCACAGATTCGACCATTCTGGTAATATCGTGCAGCTTTGAAATAATCAAACAAGAAGCACACCTCTAGGGCAGCCACTTCTGTGCTGTCCCGTAAGACACGGAAGGCAAAGGGGTGCTTGGGTCCGAGTCCCGGAACCACCTCGCAGCCGTGGAGAGGAAGGGAAGGGAGAGACATCCGAGGATCTCCTTTGTCGTGGTAGAAGTGCAGGGCACCTCTGCACACGCAGCACCACTGCTCCCGCCACACCTGGTTCACCAGCACTGACAAATGGCCTGCATCGTGAGGAGATAAGGAAGAGTTACGCATTCCGCAAACTTGGACTCCTGAAGCACGACATTGAAGCGGGCTCTGACCTTGCCGAGGATCGCTGTATGTCCGTGGGTCACTTGTCCGAGTGGACTTCTTCTTTGAGAAGCTGATGATGCGTGTGATCTTACGCCCCGCAGCAAAAGGACCCCGTTTCACCTTACCTAAATAAAAAAATTAAAAAGAGTTCAAAATCAGATGCTTTTGTTTGGATTTATCTGTGTCGTTTGGGAACTGTATTCCCAATCTGTTTTATTTTATCAACATGTTTCAACAGAATCCTTCCCATCTCATATGGCATAAATGCAGCAATATGGAAGAGTCACACAAATTACATCCCAGCAACCTCTAATTGGAACAGCTGCAATGCTTTAAGACTGCGTGCATCTCTGCCTTACCATTCTCTCTGCAGTTCTCTCCAGCTGACACGCCCACACTGTCTGAATCCGATGTGTTCCTCTCCGCAGACAACCTCTGCAGAAGCAAACACGCCAACACAAGGTTAGATTTTATCAGGGCCCAAGGTTTCATTCTAAGCTAAGCTGGTCTACACTTGCCTTTGACTAATAAAGAGCTAAATAACTATACTTTAAAGGCATTTCTTCTCATACATATCCACCTTCTTAGACGTCTTTCTGTCATGCTGTTTCCTAAATACAAACACATGGCATAATTAAACAAATAGTCTCCTTCCAGCTCTATATGGGCTCCCCTTGTTTTAGTATTTGTTTTTGTATGAGAGCCTGTTGCAGATTGTGATCTAATAAACTCCTAAAGAGGATGTGCCTCTTCCGACATTGGCTCACCACCACCTCCGTCAACGAAGTCTTAACTCCTAATTACCCTGCTTATCTCCTTTTTGTTCTGTGAGCCAAACACAGGTATCTGTGTTGAGCCAAACAATTGTTTAGGAAAATTGATGCTGACAGCACAATTGCTGCTTGCTGCTGAGCATTCCTCGCCTCAGCTGCTGTAAGGAAGAATTACGGACTTCGGGGATATAACAAAAAAAAACCCCACAAGGATACACTCACATAAACATCCTCTCTCTCACGCTTACCTTATCAAGTTCACATTTTCTGAGAATGACAGGAGATGCCGATTCCTCGGGCGCTGCGCTCTGACTGCTCACCTCTCTGACAACCTGCGGGAAAGTTTGCACTTATCACTCTGGACTGGATGCTAACCCC